TATTTTTTCCTAGCACTTTCGTTCTTTTTGAAGATGCCATTCTTACAATGTAATTACTACTTGTTTAGATACATAAACATTTTCTTAATAATCTTTTTGAATTATTACAAATATAAATTGATTGCAGTCAGTCGTATAAAAGAATTAATAAATACATTAGGTGATAAATTACAAAGCATTTAGTTGCACATGAAATAAACGTGTCAATTTCTGGCGACAATTTCAAATTAAATTGATAAAACTATTTTATGTAGACCTATTAGATCTGGTAATTGATCAAATTTCTAAACGGAAAACCGTGCAACAACGGGCGGGTCATCCAGCTGACTTTGCTACTGAAATCGTTGTGCTCTGCTCTGCGGTATGGGTTTTCCTCATTGTTGAAGGCCGTATATACGGTGACCTATAGTTGATTACTACTATGTCATTTGATCTCTGGTTGAGAATTGTCTCATTGGCAATCATACCACATCTTCTTATGTTTATAAACACAACGTTAACGATATTGGACTATTCAGCAGACGACACTAACCACAAAGCTAATAACAACACTTGACATGCATTAGCAATATGTTTGAGACCAGATATCAAAAGCACAACTATAAACGAGATGTATTTTGTGTAGTTGGGTTGCTGTTTCATTGATAAATATAGCCCACCTTTCCTTTTATTCAACCACATAAGTAAAGATAGATTTTAGCGTGTACTAAAACAATGGGGAAATGAGGAGAAATACGAGTTCTATTTTTGGATAAGAATGTTTCAAGTTGTAATTGATAGACTTCACAACTAGAATATGTCCGTTTATCAATTGTTCACATTCAGCTATCTTAACGGTGTCTTTTCCTAAACAAAATTGTAACAAATGATAAATTTTTATTTGGTGAAGTGTCTTGAGTGGACCTTAATTTTCAGTTGGAAAAGATAAATAAAATGTCGCCTATCTATAGTGGTTGACAACTGAATAACTATTTTTGTTGGAACAGCATATAACGTGAACCAGGTGTGCATCGTCATCTTTATTCATCTTCTCTACAAGGTCCGATTAAGAGGCAGGATGAAGGGTGCAACCCCCACATCTCTCCCCCCTCCCCGGTATGGAAAATAAAATAAGGTAAAATTGTAAAGCTGTAATATTTGCAAAAACGAAATTTATCAAGACAACACGAATATGCCCCCGACTGCAACCAAATTCCAAGTGGTGTCACGCCGTGTACTAGTATATTAGTACAAGTAAGTCGGATGGAAACGCAAACTTCGTATTTATCTAAACATTATTCACTTAGAAAACAAATAATATCCTAATACGTATACAGGCATGAAGAAGGAATACTCTGAGATGGCATGTTGGACATTACTAACACAATATGCCTGCTGCCCGGACTGCTAAGGGACAATGTCACACACAAAAAAATACTTATTCAGATATGGACCCGCAACGCTGTAGACTCATATACGGTCGTATATTTTATGCTGCAAAGGTTGGTCGAATATACACGCATGGAAAGAATATAAAATATATATATTCGATGACCAAAGATGATGCTTACAAAAAGAAATGTTCTATGTTCAATTTTCAGACCTTATTGGATGTACAATTTAAATTAATCATACGATCCCCGCTCTCATATGATATCCCACAATCATAACTATCAATGGTCACATATTGAACCGAATTTCAAATCAAACTTTGTGATATGTCAATTTGAATTAATATGTCTTATCTTCCGTCAATATTACAGAAGGAAAATGGATTTGAATAAATCCTAAATATTGGATAAATTTGAATGATTACTTTTCAATTTTGACAAGTAAGTTAGCTTCTATCTTGTCTAGGATAGTTTCCCATCCTTGGGGGGTCTCAAACCAAAGATCATTCCAAACTGGTCGGTTATCAAAGAAATGATAAAACATCAATACATTTCCAATGCTTTGGTACAAATTTAGATATTATTTGACAAAAGAAACAGATAATTTTAATCATTTTCAATTGGACATCCTATTATCGTAATCCAAATGTCGCAATCTGGGATATCTTGATCCCGGATTACCAGACATATATTAGCAATTACATTTCTACACAAAGCGTATATTTATAAATTCATTGCTATCTGGAATTAATTCACAGATAAAAGGATTTCAAACGAACCTGTTGTAAAATATTTCCATTTTTAATACGTCACATGATTTGCCGTTGGTGTACGTAACGTGGCATAGATTCATATTGTATTTATTTTTTCAAAAAGAAATATTTGTTAATTAGAGCAGTTACTACGGCAACAAAATGATAATCATTTAATTGTAAGTCATTAAACAAAGTAAATGTATGAAAATGATTGTAGGTTTCATGAGGTCGGGACCAAATCTCTAATTTACGATGATGAAAATTTCCATTTGGCACGAAATATGAGAGAATGCGATTTGTTTTCGATAAGAATTATTAAAGAAATATGGTGTATTGACGGCTTATTATCGATAATGATAAAGTTTCATTAGTTAGATGATTCTTAATCTGTTTTATTGCCTCGCAGTTCTGATTTTCTGTTCCCCTCTTGATAAAATCAAGGTGTACGAAATAAATTGTTGATGATAAGACAAAAAGGGAGAAATAATGTCCATATTAATGATCATTGTACTGTTAGTTAGAAACATTAACAACCAAATTTCCAAATGCTTTGTTTTTTATTTCATTGGCAAAAAAAATCTGTAATTTCGAAGTTATCAAAAGGCCTGTTTTATCTTCACGAAACATATCGAGTACACCTGGAACGTTCGGAAAAAAAACGGCTGGATTTGTTTTTCCTATTATATTCTTTAATCGTTTAATGATCCATTTATTTATTTTATTCCAAGCAAGACATGCTTACCAAGGACTAACCTATTTACTACACATTACTTATTAAATAGTTTCTATAAAATCATTATTTTAATGTCTCAAATTATGTAGATAACAGTATTGCTTTCTAAGTTATCGACTACAAATAAACGAATGTAACTTTTGAAGATGCAAAGAATAAAATGTAAGGTGCCATGGTCTTAAATCATATATTTAAAACGTAATGGAAATTACTCTTTTTATACAAAATGTACTTACAATGCGGAAATGTACTTGTGATTAAACTGATCTCAGAAATGTGTTCCTCTTAACAGATTTTTTTATTTGTTCATAGGAAAATTATCTCAGAAACTTATAGTGTTGGTCAATCATATTAGAATTTAAAAAAAAACATACACTTTTTTCCTTTTTCAATTTACATGCAGAGTTTTTAATTTGATATTTATATTTAATGGAAATTTCACTAAATATTCATGACCTCCATAGAAAAGGAGATTAAAATGAAGGTACAAAAGATTCAGATGACAAATTTAAATCTATATCAAATCTAAATTTATTGGAAAACAGTTAAATCCTTGCATTCATCTGTACATATTGAGCGCATATGAAGCGAATAAAATTATAAGCACCGTAAATTGTCCATATTAAATTTAATTCGAATCGGTTTGATATCTAATAAAAGTTATTTACATTTGCAAAATAGAACCCTAACGATGTGTGTAAAGAATACAATACATGGAATTCTATCACAACATCATATTTAAATCATCTGCAAAATATATTGTTAAATAATGTTTCAAGATATTAATACGTGTTTATAAATATAATGCATTCGGAGCAGGGGTGAACTTAATATATGTAAACGATGCATATTTGTAATTCTGTAGCTTAACGACTGAAGAGATCTGTGCATGATTTGTGTTTTCTTTAAAATTAAATTCAGAAACAAATGCTTGTTTTCCATATAAATTTGTATATTTACAAGGTGATTAGATATGTAAATTTAATAATTGATAAGAATTCATTGAAAGATAAGAAATCTATAAATTTTCTGTATTAGGCTGATAAATTTTATCTCAAATTAGAATTAAATATTTTTCGTATCAATTTATTGCCAATTACAAGAAAATGTATTAATTACAAGTAATCTGACATGTGACACTGACTGGGTGGTATCAAACCATATTACACTGTGTCATCGGCAAATTACAGACGGAATAAAACTGACACCTCCCTGTAAACAAGACCCCCTTCAAATACCAGATATTACCACATGCAGTTCATAAATATTATCAAATATGAAAATGATAATAAAATGTTCTAGTGTTATTGTCATACTGCTTTGATTCTGATAAAAGAACAATGTTTAATTCATCTGATACGAGCATCCATATGTGTGCTTAAAACTTCAATAAAGACACTCCATGGGACATCAATACTCTGGACCACAGTTTGATGATCAGCGTTCTCTGTCTCTCTACTTGGTCCATTTATTATTCGCGGTCTTTAAATACCTTAAATATGTTTTCAGATGACAAAAATAATTTCTTGGAGATTGTGTTTTTTTTTTATTTCAAGGAAATCGCAACCAGGTAACGTTCTGAATACTGAAATGTATTCAACCAGATGAAAGTCATCAACTCATGAAGGGTATAGAATTTTCTTTTGAACTTGACCATAATAATAATAAATACTAAACTTGTTATACGTGGTTTAATACAAATAGAAATCAATGATTTTATAATTTTATTTGAAATGAGCCACGCGTTTGTTAAAATGGACATTGTTTCTTCCCCATTACCTGTCACATAATTATTGACATTGTTTTGTGTGTTTACAATTCAGAACATAAATAAACATTTAACTTCAATAAAGTCACTATATCAAATGCATTTCACTTATTCTTTTGCGATTGGGAAACAAATTCAAAATTTGTTATTAAACACCTTGAGATAAAAGATTATTGATTTTATTTATTTTTAGACAGGATTGATTATCAATTTGTTATCGATTACAATCACGCTGAAACGGAAAAAAGTAATTTTTCAAAATGAACCAGACTTTGCATCTTTAGTGCAAAAAACGATATCATTAATTTAAATGATATAAGAATAAAGAAAAGTTTGAAATAATGTATAATTCTATGATAAAGAAATTGACGTACCTTGAATTTGTGCAGTCTTCGTACAGAACATCAAATTCTTTGCAAGAGATGAGCTTACATCTGTTGACCCCGGGCTGGATAGCTCCCAGCCCCCGGAGAATCCGCACCTGTTCAACATTACACACTACTGGGGTTATGTCTAGTCTCTTTAGTTTGGTATATACAGTGTGAAGTCCTCCAACAAGATGCTTCAGGAAAAGCTCAAAAGCTTGAGGGAGACAAATTAGCTCTCGACCCTCCACAACAAAGGCGGCTATCTTGGCCCCACGGTAGTCGATAAGTTTGCACACATTGTTGTCCGGATTATTTGCTACTGGCGGTGGGGAACTGTAAGATGTTGTCTTGTGAATCTTGTTCATCAAGCTGCTGTTGAGGTTGAGTGCTGGTAGCATCGTCCCGTGGGCTAGACTGATTGTCCCTGGGGTAGTTCCTGGGCTAGAGTGAGCTTGTGGTGGTGATCTAAGATGCTCCACTTTGTGCAACAAAGTTGGATCCATTGAAGTAAATACCTTTTGTCGCAACTGCAAACACAAATAAAGTTAAAAGTTAAATGTTTTAACACAAAGATAAATACATTTGTAGATATGTTTTGTGGGTTGTCGTTTTATCTTTTTTCATAATGTTACAGGCTGGATTCTAATTACTTTGAATATTAACACCAATCAGATGCGAGGAGAGATTGATTGACAGGCAATAAAAATGTTCACGCCTACTAACTCGGATCGATTACTTATGCAAATACTGCATTTATTCGTAAAAATGACATTTGTTGAACAAATTTCTAAATTCAAGAATTATTGAAATAAAAGTAAACAATTTCTTGAATTGTAAATTGTATATATAAATACAATGCATATCAAAGAAAAACTGTAGCGGTGATTATCATCTGAAAACTTAGAAACGAATTTATTTATACATTGGATTTTAAGAAAACCGATAAACAACCGACTAAATATTTAATTCTACATTTAGAGACAGAAAAACTTCCTAATTTGATAGATAACAATTCTTTAATATTTCTAGCAATCTTCTGATCCTTAATTTGTTATCTTAAGGACGAGAAAAATTTGTATTTATTTGATTGCCAAACTTTGATATACGTATCTTAATAAAGTTCCAATCCGAATAGTAAACAAAGGTTTTAATTATTCACAACAATGCTATTTAATTTTGGTACAGATTGAAATTGTCTTTATCTGTTTGTCGTGAGAAAGTGGAATTACACATTTGTGGTTGAATTTATATAAAGAAAAACAAATAACGTAAGAAACTGCAATAACTAGCGAACGTTTGGCGTAAATAATAAATAAACAATTTACCAGCCCATTTATATATCAAATAATCACTGTTTTATCATTCTTTGTTAAAATTGCGTTCTTTCTTTGATTAGAAATATGCGACATAGACGTCGCGGAAACTTACAAGATTTATTTATTTTACTTTTTCCTGTGACTTTGATTTTTCAGTAATTTCGATTTGTCCCTTATCAAGAAAAGAACGGATATCGTTGCACGTTGATATAGTAAGAAATGTGAAGGAAATATTGTTGTATCCGCTACTTGACAATGTCGTAATTAACATTTTAATGACAATTGTCTTATAAGTGTTTATAAATATTTTTCTTATGTACGAAACAGGATAAACGGCGGAATTAATAACCGCAAAACGCGCATTTTTGTAACAGATAACAACAATTGTCTAGTTTTGGGGTGCATTTGGGATGGGAATTCACTAACTGTAGAATTTCTTTATCCATCACCTTTATCAGTTTCTGAATGAAAATTTCAAATGTGCTTAAATTCAGTGTGTCGAATTCTTAACCCATTCATCAATTTTTCGCGGATCTCGTTTTTGTGAAACCCTGAAACAACGATGTAGCCAGGACACATGCATTTACATGTAGTTCAAAAGTTCCTTGATCTAAATCATGTTAAATTTTCCGACCGATTCAACGGACTTTTCATCAATTAATGCATCAAACATTATTCGGCTGGCTCAGTTCGGGGATATTAACACATCTTCCTCTATATTATTACTACGTTGTTTGTTAACATGTCTTTGTCCAGTTACACCGCGTTTAGTCATACTATTGAAAATAAATTATCTGAATTATAGATCAGTTGTGGATGTACGTTTCGCCACTCGTACCAAGGATAGGATTGATTGATTTTTTTAAATTCTTTGATTATTTTGAGTTCAATTCATGTCTGTCAATTGTACGTATTGGTTGCGTATCCTGGATTTTTCATTTAAAGGATAAGGGAGTAGGACTTTGGACACACAGAAAAAAATTGTGACAATAAAAACAAGAGGCTCTCAAGAGCCTGAATCGCTCACCTGTAATTTTTTGCTTAAATCTTACATCAATGATTATTTTTGCTTTTCAATATATATTAATGAGTGGCTTAAAAATTCCATTTAAATGCTCTTTGTATCTGTCATATTTTCTTCAAAAGCAAAAAAATGCATTTTACCCCTATGTTCCATTTTAGCCATAGTGGCTATGTTTCTTGACGTACAAGGAAATGAAATACAAAATTTATACTAGATACTTTGAAACTCATTCAGCCAAAGTTTGGCTGAAATTGATTCAGCAGTTTCAAAGGAAAAGATTTTTTAAAGTAAGCAAACTAGATGAACAAAATGTGAAAATTGTCTTTGAAGGACAATAACTCCTTAAGGGGTCAATTGACAATTTTGGTCATATAAAATCTTATTTGTAGATCTTACTTTGCTGAACATTTTTGCTGTTTACAGTTTATCTTTATCTATAATAATATTCAAGATAATAACCGAAAACTGCAAAATTTTCTTAAAATCATCAATTCAGGGGCAATAACCTAAAAATCAGATACCCGATTTGGCTGATAATTTCAGGGCAGGTAGACCTTGACCTAATGAATACTTTAACTTCTTTTCTGATTTGCTCTAAATGCTTTAGTTTTTGAGATATAAGTCAAAAACTGCATTTTCCTCTATGTTTTATTTTTAGCCATGGCGGCCAGGTTTTCTGAGGAAACAGAACATAAAACACAAACTTTATTCTAGATAACCTAAGAATCATTCAGCTTAAATTTGGTTTAATTTGGTTCAGTAGTTTCAGAAGAGAAGATTTTTAAAGTTAGAAAACATGATAAACAAATTGTGTTAAATTGTCCTTACAGGGCAATAACTCCTTAAGGGGTCAATTGACAATTTTTGTTATATAAAAACTTATTTGTAGATCTTACTTTGCTGAACATTTTTGCTGTTTACAGTTTATCTTTATGTATAATAATATTCAAGATAATAACCAAAAACTGCAAAATGTCCTTAAAATTACCAATTTAGTGGCAGCAACCAAACAATGGGTTGTTAGATTCATCTGAAAATTTCAGGGCTGATCGAGCTTGACATAATGAACATTTTTATATCGTGTCAGAATTGCCTATAATGCTTTAGCTTTTGAGAAAAAGCCAAAAACTGCATTTAACCCCTATGTTCTATTTTTAGCCATGGCGGCCATGTTTTTTGACGAAACAGAAAATATCTTTATTCTCGATACCCTAAGGATCATTCAGCTTAAGTTTGGTTGGAATTGGTTTAGTAGTTTCAGAGGAGAAGATGTTTGAAATAGTTTACACAAGACGGACGACGACGGACGCCAAGTGATGGCAAAAGCTCACATTTCCTTTGGAAAAGTGAGCTAAAAATCGAAAAAAAAACCTTCGACAGCGTAAAGGGGGAGGGGGTAACAGTAAGTACACTCTTACGGTGAGAACGCGAAGTAAACTATATAATCTTTCCGTGAGAATGAGAGGTTAACAGTACAATCTTAGTGTGAGAACGAGAGGATTACAGTAGTACAATCTAACTGAGAACGAGAGGTTAGCAGTATAATCTTAATGTGAGAACTAAAGGACCACAGTATAATCTTAGTGAGAACGAGAGGTTAACAGTACAATCTTAGTGTGAGAACGAGAGGGTTACAGTACAATCTCAGTGTGAGAACGAGAGGGTTACAGTACAATCTAACAATGAGAACGAGAGGTTTACAGTACAATCCTTGCTGTGAGCACGAGAGGTTAACAGTTCAATCTTAGTGAGAACGAAAGGTTAATAATACAATCTAATGTGAGAACGAAAGGTTTACAGTACAAGCTTACTGTGGAAACAAGTGGCCAACAGTACAATCTTACTGTGAAACGAGAGGTTAACAGTACAATCTCACTGTGGCAATAAGAGGCCAACAGTATAATCTTGCTGTGAAACGAGAGGTTAACAATACATTCTTACTGTGGGAATTAGAGGCCGACAGTACAATCTTACTGTTAGAACGAGAGGTTAACAGTACAATCTTACTGTGGTACCTATAGAGGCCAACAGTACAATCTTACTGTGGGAACTAGAGGCCAACAGTACAAGTCTTACTGTGAAACAAGAGGCCAACAGTACAATCTTACTATGAAACGAGAGGTTAACATTAAAATCTTACAGTGAAAACTAGAGGATAACAGTACAATCTTACAGTGAAAACGAAAGGTTTACAGTACAAGCTAACTGTTAGAACGAAAGGTTAAGAGTACAATTGCACTGTGAGAAGGAGAGGTCATCGGTACAACCTTACTGTGAATACAAGTGGCCAACAGTTCAATATTACTACGAGAACGAGAGGTTTACAGTACAATCTAGCTTTGAGACCGAGAGGCCATTTGTATAATCTTACTGTAAGAACAAAAGGCCAACAGTCCAATCTATTTTAATCTTATTTAGAGCATGAACTTACAGAGGCAATTATAAACATGAAGAATGAAGGCTTGTTCGGTTCGGGGTTTCTAATCCTTACAAAGCTTGTGCTAATGGTAACTTAACACATCTTTATATATATATGATCAAAGTTGCTGTCGATTGATTAATTGGTTCTTTAATTCCCAGCGTCAAGTATTTCATTTAAAAGTCTAAGAACATGTACAAGTTACACACTATCCACAAAATATGAATTGATAAGTAGGAATGACTATTAACCGCATGCAGAAAACGTTTAAAGAGTTAATCGTTGAAGACGAAGTAACCGAACCTCATTATTCCGGCTCTTGGCGACATCTATATGTATAAGTATGTAAGTTTTGTTGTTCGGGTTTCGTGTATTCTGACGTATCAATAACATTATAATGCATTCCCTAAATCTATTAAATCGACACACCTTTAAAATACTGAAAAAAGTCTTCAAAAAGTGTATTTAAGAGCGGTTCCTAACTATTTCAACCTTTTTTTTTAAAGATTTGTAACCGTAAGAAATTAAAGGTTGACAAAAACAGACATATATCTTAATTTTGAATTCTAGCTTAAATTCCTTTGCAACTGAATTTTCAGACCCTTAACTTGGGTCTTACCAGTGAAATATAAAAAAATAAAATCAAGTAATTTGAAGCTTTTCAAAATAGTCGTACTCAACAAAAAATTAAACGATTTCTTTTTTACTTTTTACATATATATACACAAAAAATGTTTTTTTTTACGATTGTTGTAACATTTCTAGACATCGGAAACCGAACACAAGAAAACTTGGATCAGATGTAGATTTATTATACGTCTGTAATGATCTGAGATATAATTATAT